TGAACAGATTTTAAGTAGCAAAGGCTGGCCTTGAACTTCCAGCCTTTCAGGAACATTCACCGTCCAAGTGCTGGAATTAACAGTGTGTGTTACACATCCACTTTATGGGATGCTAGGGGTCAAATCCAGGGCTGCTTCTATGCTAGGCAAGTGTCCTGCTTTGTCTAAATCCTCAGTCCAAATACAGGAGATTGGATTTGGGGACACTACCGGATACTCAAGCTCAGTTTCCTACTTGTAGGGACACCCTTTATAACAGTGTGTACTGGAATTGTCACTTAATGTCGAATTTGGAAGAACAGTTGCCTGGCTTTTGTCTTCAAGTACGAACCTTTAGGGGTTTTATTAAGATGGTTTCATGTAGCTCAGGCTAGCCATAGACTTGCTATGTAGTGGAGGATTGCCTTGAACAGCAGATACTCCTCTATCTCCCAAGTTCTGGGATGATAGGTACCTGCCATACCAGGTGTCTTGCATAGCTGGGGAACAATTCCAGAGCCTCCTGAAAGCCAAACAGACCCTCTAGGAACTGAGGGACATCCCTACCCCAACATTAACATCTTTTATGTGTAATGTGCATGTGTGAGTGCATGTATGTGTGGGTACCACATGCATGTATGTATGGGTACCACATGCATGCCTGGTGCCTTTGGTGGCTGGAAGAGGGCATCACACCACCTGAGAACTGAACCACCACGTAGATGCTAGGAACAAAACTTGGGTCGTCTGTGAGAGTAGCCGGTGGTTTTATCTCTAAGCCATCTGTTCAGCCCAGATATTAACTTTTGTTTGTTTGTTTTTGAAGTGCCCAGACCTGTGGTTTTTACAGAATGCCTTGTTAGTTTTTCTTGATAATTTTTCATGGTTATAATCAGATTGTGCGTTTGGGGCAGGAATAGCCTGAGACTGTGTCGACCCGTCTGAAACAATGAAAATAAGACTTGTTAGCCATTAGGTGTGTGGGATGTTCTAAGTACCGAGCGCTGCTCATTGGGTCCTCGGCCTTCTCAGCATGTTAATCTTCTTCGCCGTACAGGAAACAGAGTTGATGCTCAAGAGAGTTAATGTAGCCGGGCAGTGCTGGCTTTAATCTCAGCACTCAGGAGGCAGAGCCAGGCAGATCTCTGTGAGTTGAGGCCAGCCTGGTCTACAGAGTGAAATCCAGGACAGGCACCAAAACTACACAGAGAAACCCTGTCTCAAAAAAACAAAAAACAAAACAAAACAAAAAAGTTAATGTAGCAGGCCTTTGTGTCACGTGATGGGGGGGGGGTGGGAGATGACCTTGGAGTATTATCTCAGCTAATGGCCTCAGAGGTGTCAGTCCATCCTGATGGAGAGGGTGTGCCAGAGACATCAGTTTGTGTCGTGGCAGCCAAGAGTCTAACAAGGGGACCTAGGAAGTGACCGCAGCAAGAGACAGTCCCTGAGGACACGCATCCGCATCCGGTGACCTTCCCGTCAAGTCCACCTCCCATATTTCACCACCTCCCAATAATGCTGTTGTGGGAGCCACGGAGGAATAACTCCCTGCCATTGACTAGGTCCGAGACCTTGTGAGCTAAATCGTCTTTGGAAATGCTCGCACAGTACCCCAGGTGCTTTACTAATCCCCCGGGCTTTTTCTAATCCAGTCAAGTTGACAGTCAAGATTAACTATCTATCACAAGTAACTTGCCCGGGCTCAAACCGGAAGGTGCCTCAGAGCTCAGAGCCTCTAAAGAATCTTACCTAGGCAGGTTCTGGCATTGCTTGGAGAATGGGAAGGTCCAGCGGCCCCAGGGCCTACCCTGCAGAGCTACAATGAGCAGGAACTGAGTTTTAGCCACAGTTACCCAGGGCCTATCTTAGCCACAGACCCCATGCTCCCTCTTGTCTCACACTGGGCCGCTTAATATTAATTACTTCCCTTGGGCTATCAGGATGGCTCAGCAGAGGAGCTGCCCCAGAGTTTGACCACCTGAGTTCATTTCCCAGACCCTGCCTGGTAGGAGGAGAGAATCAATTCTCACTGGTTGTCCCGACCTCCACGCCTGCAGCGTGGAACTTGCGCACCCAGGGTCACACACAGCAAATGTGATTTTAAAGACATTGCTTACCCGATTCTCACAGGCCCTGAGTTTGAGATATGTCTGTCCTGGAACTCCAGTATATAAAGTGGTTTGGTTTGTTTTCTTTCTAATGGTGCTGACAATCAAACTTAGGGCATTGTGCATAATAAGCATCCTACCGATGTGCTGTATCCCTAGACCCTATAAAGTAAATTTAGGCGCCTAATATTTGTCCCGATCCCATCACTTCTCATCCACTCTGCATCTTATGCACCAGGACCATTCTCTTGAGAGATGCTAGGTACAACTGGGAAGGATCCCAAGTGCTACCTCGGCTCCCCAGAGATGCCTGGATATCACTCCCATATTAAATAACCCTGCTGGAATTCCTCCTGGCCATGACTCTGGAGTCTAATGTTTTGTTTCCTGAATGTGTCTGGATCAAGAATCACCAGGCTGGCTTGTAGAATGTAGATCCCCAAACATCACCATCTACCATGAGCTGATGCAGGTTGGCAGGTTGGTCTGGGTATGCCTCTGGAATATCTCTCTAACAAGTACCCGGGCACCTTGAGTAAATACTCCTGAAGAGCCTAGGCTCAGAGCTGAGGTTGTAGCTCAGTGGTAGGAGCATTTGCTTGGCCTACACCAGGCTTTGTGCTCCATCCCAGCACCAAAGTAGATGATGAAATAAAAACACAGTCTCTCTGCTTTGGCTTTATTTTTATTTTGGATACAGTAGATTATTCACTTGCTTCCAAATTCAACAGTAAAAAGTTGTTCTTTAACCAGGCAGTGGTGGTGTAGGCTTTTAATCCCAGCACTTGGGAGGCAGAGGATGGCAGATCTCTGTGAGTTCAAGGCCAGCCTGGTCTGCAAAGCAAGTTCCAGGACAGCCAAGGATACACAGAGAAACCCTGTCTCAAAAAAAAAGGGTTCTCCACTCCTGTTCCAAGTCCCCAGTTGTCTCCAGAAGTGACTATTGTTGCCAGTTTATTGCTTTTTATAAACAAATGTATCCTCAATCCCCATGCCTTTTTTCTGGAGCTGAGAACGGAACCCAGGGCCTTGCACTTGCTAAGCAAACGCTCTACCACTGAGCTAAATCCCCAACCCTGCCCCATACCTTTTTGAAGCAGGATATCTATGCAGACCAGGCTGGCTTTGCAGAGATCTGCCTGTCTTTGCCTCCCAAATGCTAGGATTAAAGGTGTGCACCACCATGCCTGGGAAGAATCTATACACTTCCACTACCTAAGAGTATAGAGACCTGGGCTGGAGAGATGGCTCAGCAGGGAAGAGCACTGGCTGTTCTTCCAGAGGACTCTGTTTAGAGTTCCTGCACCCACGTGGCAGCTCACAACCATTTGTAACACCTTCTTGGGCACCAAGCATGCACGTGGTACACAGACACACACGCAGGCAAGCACACAAAAATAAAAGAATATATAGGGCTGGGCACTGGTGGCACACGCCTTTAGTCCCAGCATTTGGGAGGCAGAGGCAGGCAGGGCTCTGAGTTCAAGGCCAGCCTGGTCTATAGAGTGAGTTCTAAGACAGCCAGGGCTACACAGAGAAACCCTGTCTGAAAAAAAAAAAAAAAAAAACAAGGGTAGGCACAGTGTTATCTTGGGGACTTACCAACCTGTTTCCTCTAAACTAGCAGAGAACAGCAGGTCACCTCACAGGTTATGTAGTCACAGAAGAGGCAGCTGAAGCTATCCAGACCCAGCTGGTGCAGAGTAAGCACTCAGCACCTGTGTAGTCAGTCATGTTGAGCCTACTTCGTGGAGTCAGGTGCAGTCAATAGCACACACCCTGAAGCGGGTCACCATACTTAGAATTTAGGGGCAAAGAAAAGGTCATAACGTCAGTGTAGCTCTTCTGTTTTGTTGAGGCTGGCCTTGTTCTCACTGTGGAGGCCAGGCTGGTGTCAACCCCTTACTGATTCTCTTCCCTCCATCTCCAGAGTGCTGGGATTACAGGTCTGAGCCACCACCATGCCTCACTAAGTGTGGGGCATTTGCTGAGATTTTTTTTTTCCCCCTGAGACAAGGTTTCTCTGTAGTTTTGGTGCCTGTCCTGGACTAGCTCTGTAGACCAGGCTGGCCTCAAACTCACAGAGATCCGCCACCTCTGCCTCCCGAGTGCTGGCATTAAAGGTGTGTACCACCAACGCCCGGCAAGAGCTTTATTTATTTATTTATTTATTTATTATTATTATTAAGAAAATTTTTTCATTCATTTCACACACCAATCAAAGATCCCCCTCTTCCCTCCTCCCACCCTCCCCCCAACCCATCCCCCATTCCTCCCCACAAGAAGGCAAGGCCTCCCATGGGGAAGCCCATCTAGTAGAGGCAAGTCCAAGCTCTTCCCCCTGTCTCAAGGCTGCATGGGGTGTCCCATCATAGGGAGTGGGCTCCAAAAAGCCCCCTCGTGCACCAGGGATGGATTCTGATTCTACTGCCAGCCAGCCCCCCAGCCGCCCAAGCAGATCAGACAGCACAATTGTCTCGCCATGCAGAGGGCCTAGTCCAGTCCCACGCTGAGAGCTTTACGGGCAAACGTTGAGCTGAATCATTTTCTTTGTAGTGTGTTCGATGTAGCATGTTGAG